ATCCTATGTATCACGAAGGTCCTAATCCATTCCATATCAGTCGTACGATCATATGATAAAAAAATGCTGATGACGACTAACCAGATCACCGTGCAGTTGACGACTAACCAGATCACCATGCGGTTGACGACTACTAGCCAGGCCCAGGTGTAAAATTGCTGTTCCAACTTCCAAGTTGAATCTCATCAATCAAATCAACGCCGTACGATAACAGTCATATCACCTGGAATTGAACGAAGGGTTCACCTTTTGTGTTGTGCCACGTGTAATAATACCGTCATTACGATGAGAAGGGCCTGATGAGCAATTTACAATGATGATATGACTATTGACTTATTTCCAACTTTAATATATTTAATTTCTTTATTATTATTTTAAAATTTTTAAATTTAATGAATTATGTTCTTAATATTATTTAATATTTTTATTAAAATAATTAAAATATTTTATTTTTAATTTTAAATTAAATTAATTTTAATTTTTTAATAATTTATTAAAACAAATAATTATAATATTTTTTAAATTTTTAGGAGGTAAAATAGATAGAAAAAAAAAAACTAATTCATGATACTTATTATTAGATGAAAAAAATTCTTAATATTAGAATTTGTCTCCAATCTAATAACTCACCTTTTATGATTTAATACTATTTAAATGTTAAAACATATAAATAAATTAACTAAAACTTTTTATCAAAACTTAATATTTTCCCTTTAAATCCTTATGATGCTTAGTAATTAACTGGAAATTTTCAAAAAAAAAAAAAAGGAATATGTAATTGTATTTTTAAATTTGTTTATTTTTAATTTTAAATTAAATTAATTTTAATTTTTTAATAATTTATTAAAACAAGATAATTATAATATATATTTTTTTAATTTTTAAGAGGTAAAATAGATTTTTAAAAAAACACTAATTCATAATACTTATTATTAGATGAAAAAAAAATTTAATATTAGAATTTGTCTCAATCTAATAACTCACCTTTTACCGTTTAATACTATTCAAATGTTAAAACGTATAAATAAATTAACTAAAACTTTTTATCAAAACTTAATATTTTCCCT